TCCAGACGTGACGCTTGGCATTCAGGCCAGATAATCTTGTTTCTCATGGTCTGAGAGTCCTTTAGGTGCCTTTTGGCAAACTCCAAGCGGCCTGTCATGTGCCTTTTACTGAGGAGTGGCTTCCGTCTGGCCACTCTACCATAAAGGCCTGATTGGTGGAGTGCTGCAGAGATGGTTGTCCTTCTGGAAGGTTCTCCCATCTCTACAGAGGAACTCTGGAGCTCTGTCAGAGTGACCATCGGGTTCTTGGTCAACTCCCTGACCAAGGCCCTTCTCCCCCGATTGCTCTGTTTGGCCGGGCGGTTCTAGGAAGAGTCTTGGTGGTTCCAAACTTCTTCCATTTAAGAATGATGGACCTTCAATGCTGGAGAAATGTTTTGGTACCCTTCCCCAGATCTGTGCCTCGACACAATCCTGTCTCGGAGCTCTATGGACAATTCCTTCATGCCTTGGTTTTTGCTCTGACATGCACTATCAACTGTGGGACCTTATATAGACAGGTGGGTGCCTTTCCAAATCATGTCCAATCAATTGAATTTACCACAGGTGGACTCCAATCAAGTTGTAGAAACATCTCAAGGATGATCAATGGAAACAGGATGCACCTGAGCTTAATTTCAAGTATCAGAGCAAAGGGTCTGAATAATTATGTAGAAAATGTATTTTTTAATTAATTTTTTTATATACATTTGCTAACATTTCAAAAAACCTGTTTTTGCTTTGTCATTATGGGATATTGTGTGTAGATTGATGAGGAAAATTGTTTATTTATTCCATTTTAGAATAAGGCTGTAAAAGTGAAGGGGTCTGAATACTTTCCGAATGTACTGTGATTACTCATAATTTAGTGGAAAGTACTGAAACAATTCTCCCAAAATGGAGATGAAAATTATTATGTTTTAGACTAAATTTTACAAAATGGCTTCCTTATGACTGCATAATTAGTATTCCAGACTGGACTTGTCTAGCTGTCATCTTCACAAGTAGAGGGATTACCTAATCATATTAGTGGTCAGCAACGCAGGAATCCCAGTGCACTTTGACATTACACTGGTAAAAGGTTTACACTGGTCAAATGTTTACACTGGCCAAAGGTAACCAATTTACCACAAGGCATTTACCCACACACTGTTTTCAGTTCAGTGCTGAAGCGAGCAACATTTAGCAGCCTGCATTTGGCCGGGATCCAGCTTTGAAGTGTAGAAGCATTCAAATAAAGCCTTTCGGGACAATGCTACACTCTAAGAGAGGGGGAGAGTTGATCCAGGTCAAACAAATTATTTCCATTGAGGGAGTTCATTTGGACGGGGAGAGATTATTATTTGGAGAGGTATTAAGAAGGGGTTTTAATTCTCGCCCCCTGGAAGCTGTGAGCGTACATATGTTAATACAGGACTGCGGAGGCCTGCCACGGCTGGCTCTCAGGACCCTGGTGAAGCCCCTCCCGGACGCTGTTAAATCAGGGCTAATTAGGCAGTGTGAGATGGGGATGAGGAGGATTGGAGGATGTGTTTCCCACTCTGATCTTCTAGTGCCTGCAGTCAGCCAGCGAAACGCTTCAAAGAGTGTTTGATCTCTCGCCCCAGCTAATTGGGCCACTGTGTTTCTACATGCGTAATTAAGAATCTAAATAATTGGTGACTGGTATAGTGTGTTGTGGGGAGCCTACCCCCATAATTATATTCTGCTGAAATTAAAAGAATATCATGTTGAAGGTGTATTATCAACACCTTGCTTGGGAGGAATAAGATATATATATCTCAAAACCTGAATTATTATTCTGTTGTCAAAGACCGTAGAGGAAGCTACTATTCCCCCCCCAAAAGGGGTTTCATTGCCTCACTGCTAATTTGCTGTCTACTGTTCTGTATGTCTGGAGGAGAGTGACGCTGTCTACTGTTCTGTATGTCTGGGATAGAGTGACGCTGTCTACGGTTCTGTATGTCTGGGATAGAGTGATGCTGTACACTGTTCTATATGTCTGGGATAGAGTGATGCTGTACACTGTTTTGTATGTCTGGAGGAGAGTGATGCTGTCTACTGTTCTGTATGTCTGGAGGAGAGTGATGCTGTCTACTGTTCTGTATGTCTGGGATAGAGTGATGCTGTCTACTGTTCTGTATGTCTGGGGTGGAGTGATGAGTGTCATGTTTTGTATGTATAACTGTAAGTGAGCTGTGGAAAGACAACACATCCTCATCATCAGGTGTTGTCATAGCTGTGTTTAAACAGGAAGCCCAATTATGATATATTTGCAACTAATTGGTCTTTTGACCAATCAGATCAGATATTTTGTCAATAACTGGGGAACAAATCTAAATTGGGATGCCTGTGAAAAAGCAACAATAGTAGAGAAACTCAGAGTGACCCTTTGTCAGAATTAGCTGATCTCCTGTCTGTAGTCTCCTGTCTGTAGTCTCCTGTCTGTAGTCTCCTGTCTGTAGTCTCCTGTCTGTAGTCTCCTGTCTGTAGTCTCCTGTCTGTAGTCTCCTGTCTGTGCAGGGTCCAGGGTGTCTCACCGTTGCCATGGAGCACTGCTACAGTCAGGTCGGGGTCGCTGTCGAAGACAGTCAGCTCTTCCAGCAATGTTACGTGCCGGTCGATCGCCACGGTGACCACTGAACCGCTCCGCTCCGTCATCACAGTCCACTGCACAACAATGGGAGGGAAAAGGTAAAGGTGGATATCTAGTCAGTTGACCAACTGAATGCAATTAACTGAAATGTGTCTTCCGCATTTAACCCAACCCCTCTGAATCAGAGAGGCGCGGGGGGCTGCCTTAATCGGCATCCACGTCTTCGGCGCCCAGGGAACAGTGGGTTAACTGCCTTGCTCAGGGGCAGAACGACAGATTTTTAACTTGTCAGCTCGGGGATTCGATCCAAGAGACCAAAGCACTTAGAAATGGCCCCAATCACTGGAACTGGGACAGCGCATGGCCGGGGATGAATCTATATGACTTGTGGCAAAGACAGTATAGTTGACATTACATGTTTATGGTAAGAACAAGGGTCAGAAAGAAACACAGCTGCATCCAAAAGTGATGGGAGATCCTACATCACCCCAGCCACCCTACAATCATAACGTAAAACAGTTCATGAGCCAAAACACATTTCCATATAATACAATAATGTAGTGTTGTATAGGATTTAAAGTAGCCTATCTGTAGCCTGTTGTTGTTCAATGTACACTGCAATTTCATATTCCAACTCAAGGGAAGTCAAGGTCAGTCAATTGAGTGCAGAACTCAACACACAACTCCACATCTAATATGCATGTTGTGTAACAAAGTGATACATAGTGGCACCTGTTTTGAGGACGTCTAAAATATTATACTAGACTCCTTAGTCAGTACATTGAACCAACATTCCACCGCCCCATGTCGTCTGGTCTGAAAGCAAGTATTTGCTGCCCTCTTCTGCCAGAGACATGTCATTGCATATATGACACAGCTGTGTTGTTCAACGTAGCAACCTTTCTCTGATTCCTCTCCGGCTGAAGTGTCTCAGAATACTTCTTGCCAAGTAACCTGCCTATGGCAGTAGCAACTTGACAGCTCAGATTTCTAGCTAATAAAACACGTGTCGTACTCTGACACGCTCAGAGCCATAGTTGTGCTTGACAAGCAAAAATAGAAACTCAAACTGCTGAACTCACAGGAACAAAATGTATTCCAAGTTAATGTTCCGTGTGCACATCTACAAACAAAACATCTTAAAATGGCAAACTTTCAAATATTTACTAATAATGTAGTTCCCCAGAAACTACGCAAACGTGGAAGTAAAGTTCTGCATATAATTGGAGCATGCACCGGTGTAAGTACACCAAAGCAGACAGTAGAGGGCAAAGTTGAGCCATTTCTTGCACATTGGTTAATTTTCTGTAGAAAAATAAAGTGCTTTACATGTGAATAGGCGTTAGTTAGAAGTACCTTTGGTTTAACCACCTAGAGAGTACCACAATTTGAGTCATAATACCCATAAACGTAGCAGTCAAATAGGGAAATTGTTCTAATCGTTTTTCCACCATTCATTTCTCCCATACGGGATTTTAGAAACACTTTTAAAAAAGGTATGTGTTTCATGTAGGCTTACCCTGGTGTGATGTTTTGATAACCTTCTAAATCTCTCTCGGATAACGTGATTTTTATCAATATATTCATCTCTATTTACCGCCAACAAATGAAACGCTAATTAGCTGCTAATGTGGCTATGATAAAGAACTACAAATGCCATGATCTGGACGAGAATGCCGAATCGAGGCAAAGGTAAGAATCTCTGGATTAACTATCTAATGTTAGCTAAATATAGTAATTAATAAATTGGCAAAATGTATTTAAATGTACCTGTTAGCAAAGGTGCCAGCTAGAGATGACGTGCAGGAGCTTGCTAGGATGTGTTGTCTTGCATGATGTCTACTTTGATGGCAATTAGCGTTTTCGAATCTGAAAGTAAATAGAGCTGAATTTATTGATAAAAGTCACCTTGTTTGAAAGAGATTTACATGGTTATCGAAACGTTACGCCAGGGTAAGCCTACACGAAACACAGCCCTTATTTTAAGTGTTTCTCAAAATCCCCTGGAAAAACGATTGGAACTATTTCCCTGTTTCAACACTAGGTTTTATGGGTATTGTGACACCTCCACTGTGGGGCTCTATTCCTCTCTGACTAAATCTACCTCTTCACAAATCTTTCAAAGATTGTTACCATACGATAAATCATGACAATTGTCTATGCATCTTATAATATGCCATTTAGCAGACACTTTCATCCGAAGCAACTTAGTCATGCATATATTTAACGTACTGTATGGGTGGTCCCGGGAATCAAACTCACTATCCTGGCGTTGCAGGCGCCATGCTCTAACTGAACTACAGAGGACTATATTGACCATTTTCTGTCAATAATTGTATACAGTAATAATTTATACTGTTGTGTTTCAACAGCAAACTGTTTGGTCTTTGTCCACCACACATTCAATTCAGAGCTCACATTGATTCAGGTTTCTTTTTTTAATAAATGAGGTTCCTCTTGCATTTATACAGTTTAAGGCATCATGCACACACAAAGCAATACAAACGCATACGCTTATTTTACCTAAAATCCTAATAGGCTCTAACTTTTATTTATAGATTTGCTGGTTAAAAATAAGACTATACAAATATGGCGTTAGCTGGCATGTCAGTGAATCTAAAAGCAGGCGTTTGTGCCCGACCATAACCTGCTTTCACAGTATTTGTAAACATGGCTTCAGCAAAATAGATCTGAGATAGAGGGCATGCTTTGAACATTGGCAGAAGTTCCCCGGAAGCATGCAGTTATTTGTCCTAAATAATATGTACAATGCAGGTTTACCTTAAACACAGATATTCAGGTCTTTACCATTATCAAGATATGATTCAGATATTAAACAAACATTATGAAAAATGACAGACAGACAGAACGTAATATTGTTATATCCTGTCCCAGAGTCCCAGTCCGCTTGATCCAGGAAGACACGTTGTGGAGGTGGGAAGGATTTGGCACAGTGTTGTGTCCAGTTGTGCTCTTGTTTCTACTATACAACGTTGAAAACCATGGATAGATACTGTTCATAGGACACCTGGATCCAGCCGTCTTGGTCCGTGTCGTACCTCCTGAACACGTCGGTCAACCTCTGAAAGTGACAAATGAAAAATAACTATTAAAAAAAAATCTAAGATAATATATTACAGTGGATCTAGAGATCCGTAGATCTTGACTTAAACATACTAGCCAGTACAGTTGCCATGTTGGTTAATAAACCTTGTTGACCGCTTTCCCAGAAACAGATTGTGGCGCAGTGGTCTAAGGCACTGCATCGCAGTGCTAGCTGTGCCACTAGAGATCCTGGTTTGAATCCAGGCTCTGTCGTAGCCGGCCGCGACCGGGAGACCCATGGGGCGGCGCACAATTGGCCCAGCGTCGTCCAGGGTAGGGGAGGGAATGGCTGGCAGGGATGTAGCTCAGTTGGTAGAGCATGGCGTTTGCAACGCCAGGGTTGTGGGTTCGATTCCCACGGGGGGCCAGTATGAAAAAATAAAATAAAGTATGCACTCACTAACTGTAAGTGGCTCTGGATAAGAACGTCTGCTAAATGACTAAAATGGAAATGTAATTAAGCCTAGTCCAGAACTAAAAAGCATTCAAAATTGAGATTCTCCATTGAAATAGTTTAGTTCAGGACTGGGCTTTATCTGTGTCTGGGAAACCAGCCCAAAACATCTTAATTAATTTACAGACAAGAGTATGTCCAAGAAAAACCACTGGTCAAGGTCAGAAATCTAATTTGCAAAGAGTCTCTAAAATGTCATGTACATAAATGAAAAGATGCCATGTTGAACCAACCCAAAGTCCAATCTCAATATGGGCTGTATATACTGGGGTGACAATGTAGGCTACACACCCAGTGGTACATTCTACATGCTACCGTGGTACATTCTAAAACACACCGTGGTACATTCTAGATAAAAAACAGCTGCTAAACACACCGTGGTACATTCTAGAGCGCTAAACACCCAGTGGTACATTCTAGAGCGCTAAACAACCCAGGGTACATTCAGAGCCCAAACACCCCGGGTACATTCAGAGGCCTAAACACCCAGTGGTACATTCCAGAGTGCTAAACAACCAGGGTACATTCCAGAGTGCTAAACAACCCAGTGGTACATTAACATGGGACATCTCAAGTGCTACAAAAACCAGTGGACATTAAGATTTCTAACAACCAGGGGGAAATTAGAGTGTAAAACCAGTGGTACATTCTACAGTTAGCACAAACAACCAAGTGGGTTACAACCAGTGGACATTCTAGAGTGTAAACACCCCGTGGTACATTCTAGAGCGCAAAACCCCGGCCCCGTGGTACATTCTAGTAGCGGGCCTAAACACCCAGTGGTACATTCAGAGGGGTAAAACCCAACCAGAGCGGTAAACCTCATCCGAGTGCTACACAACCAGCGGACTTAAAGGTACGGTACTTCGAGTGCTACACAACCAGTGGTACATTACCCGAGTGCTACACAACCGTGGTACATTCTACCCGTGGTTGGACATTCTACAGTGCTAAACACCCCGTGGTACATTCTAGAGCGCTAAACACCCCGTGGTACATTCTAGAGCGCTAAACACCCAGCGGTACATCCCAGAGTGCTACACAACCCAGCGGACATTCGAGTGCTAACAACCAGCGGTACTTCCAGAGGCTACACAACCGGGGTAATTTCAAATGCTACACACCAGTGGTACATTCTACAGTGGTACATTCACAGTGACAAACCCCGTGGTAAAATTCTAGAGTGCCAAACACCCCGTGGTACACAACCAGTGGAACATTCTAGAGTGCTAAACACCCAGTGGTACACAACCAGTGGAACATTCTAGAGTGCTAAACACACTGTGTTACATTCTAGAGCACTAAACACACCGTGGTACACTCTAGAGCTCTAACACCCGTGGTACTTTCTAGAGCCTAAAACACCCAGGGTAATTCAGAGTGCTACACACCCAGCGGTACATTCCAGAGTGCTAAACACCCAGCGGTACATTCCAGAGTGCTACACAACCAGTGGTACATTCCAGAGTGCTACACAACCAGTGGTACATTCCAGAGTGCTACACAACCAGTGGTACATTCCAGAGTGCTACACAACCAGTGGTACATTCTACAGTGGTACATTCTACAGTGCTACGACAACCAGTGGTACATTCTAGAGCGCTAAACACCCAGTGGTACATAACCAGTGGTACATTCTAGAGTGCTAAACACCCCGTGGTACATTCTAGAGCGCTAAACACCCAGTGGTACATTCTAGAGTGCTAAACACCCAGTGGTACATAACCAGTGGTACATTCTAGCGTGCTAAACACCCCGTGGTACATTCTAGAGCGCTAAACACCCAGTGTACATTCTAGAGCGCTAAACACCCAGTGGTACATAACCAGTGGTACATTCTAGAGTGCTAAACACCCCGGGGTACATTCTACAGTGCTACATCCTACAGTGCTACATTCTACAGTGCTACACACCCAGTGCTACATTCTACAGTGCTACATTCTACAGTGCTACACACCCAGTGCTACATTCTACAGTGCTACATTTACAGTGCTAACACCTTCACAGTGCTACACACCCAGTGCTTTTACATTACACAGTGCTACATTCTACAGTGCTACACACCCAGTGCTACATTCTACAGTGCTACATTCTACAGTGCTACACACCCAGTGCTACATTCTACAGTGCTACATTCTACAGTGCTACACACCCAGTGCTACATTCTACAGTGCTACATTCTACAGTGCTACATTCTACAGTGCTACATTCTACAGTGCTACACACCCAGTGCTACATTCTACAGTGCTACATTCTACAGTGCTACATTCACGTACAACCCATGTACTTTCACATGAAATTTCACAGTGCTACATTCTCAGTGTACCCCACTAGGGTAGGGGAAAGTAACCCATTAAAAAAGGGTTACCTGTAGAACAATACAACACTGGATGAAGTCATCAAAGGCCACTTGTCCCTTCCTCTGCCTATCAAACTTCTCTATGAGAGTGTTGTAGAACTGGTCTGAGAGACGATACCCTGGGGAGGAGGTCAGAGAACAGTCAACATCACAATAACCCTTACCCAATGTGTAACATCCATAGGGCTTTCTCCTGTTCACTTCACATACAGGACTAAGCACTACTTCATTTTAATAATACAAGGACAAAAAATAACAACAAAGCATGTCTATATCTACACCACAGGAGGTTGGTGGCACCTTGATTTGGGAGGACATGCTCGTGGTAATGGCTGGAACGGAATGAGTGGGATGATATCAAATACATGAAACTCATGGTTTCCATGTGTTTGACGCCATTCCATTCACTCCGTTCCAGCCATTATTATGAGCCGTCCTCCCCTCAGCAGCCTCCACTGATATACACAACTATTTTGGCACATACAGTAGCTTTATCCAGGATCATGCATGTTGACCTTATTTGACCTTAAGGAAGGGCATTAAATACGGGGTGCCCTGTGAAACATACATCAGCGGTTGGCCCTCCACCGTTGTCAAATAAGAAAGCATACTTTGCTCCCGAATCCAGTCAGTGCTGCTTGAGCTCTTCTGGTCATAACCCGAGTGGTCTCTTCTAAGTGCGGAAGATTTTCTGCCAGTCCGTGATGTACTTCCACACGCCCGCGAACTCTTTTGAATTTCCCCTCCTTTTCCCCTGTCGAACATGGCTTTTGAAGGGAAAGCCAATAGAGGAGACATGAGTGAGCTCAAGTGGGTCTGTCAGTACGGTGCAACGTTATAAAAAAAATTTAAAAAATTCCTTTTAAAAAGGGTTTTTTTTTTTATAGTCCCCTGTCTCATCTTTTTTTTACTAAACCCCAATTATTTTCTATAGCCCAAAATAAAATCCAAAAAAAAAAGGGGCCTTTTGGGTTAGGTTAATTTTTTAAAAAAAAACAAAATTAACCCCCGCCATTTTGCCAAAGAAAATCTTGCCTGTTTAACTTCCTTTCAAAAAATTTCCCCCCGGGGATCCAGGGAAGGGGGGGCCCTCATCATTTTTTGGGCCCAAAATTTTCTTTTTAAAACATTTTTTTTTAAATCACTCTCAAAAAAAAAAACCCCCCAACATTTTTCCCCCCGAATCCTTCGTAAAACAAATTTCCCTAAACCAAACAAATGTTGCAATACCACCCGTTTTCAAGGAATGACAAAGTAAAATGGTTCCACCCCCATGGCGGTTTTGATTCCCCCCCCCGTTTACTTGTACATTCTACAGTGGTACATTCTAAGTGCCAAAACACCCTGTGGTACATTTCAGAGCTAAACCACTTTTTGTTAACATTCTAGCGCTAAACAACCGGGTACACTCTAAGCGCAAAACACCCAGTGGGACATTTCTAGACACTACCACCCATGGTACATTCTAAAGCGTACACCACCCCGTTGTACATTCTAGACGCTACACACCCGCGGTACATATCTAGAAAAAGCGCTACACCCCAGGTACCATTCGAGTGTAAACACCCAGCGTAACAATTCCGATTGCTTTACACAACCCGTGGTACTTTCCCCAAAAGTGCTTACAAAACCAGTGGGGTCATTCCAGAGTGCTACACACCAGTGGTACATTCCAGAGTCTCACAACCATTGGTACATTCTACAGTGGTACATTCTACAGTGCTCACAAAAACCCAAGTGGAAAAAATTCCTATAGTTCATTCACAAACCAAAGTGGTACATTCTAGAGCGCTAAACCCCAGTGGTACATTGACCAATTGGTAACAATTTCCTAAGTTGCTTAAAAAACCCGTGGTACATTTCTTCCCAGTTGGTACCACACCCCGGGGTTTACATTCTAACCAGTTGCACATTCCTACAGTGCTACCCTTCCTAAAAGTGCTACACACCCCGTGCTTACATTCTCCAGTGCTACAACACCCAGTCTACATTCCGCTACAGTGCTACATTTCTACAGTGCTACACACCCAGTGTTTAAAAATTCTACAGGTGCTACATTCTACAGTGCTACACACCCAGTGCACATTCTCCAGTCTCCCTTCTACAGTGCTACATTCTACAGTCTACTTCTACATCTACCACCCAGTGCTACATTCTACAGCTCCCTTCTACAGTGCTACACCCCCCAGTGCTCATTTACATGCACTTCTACGTGCACATTTACGTGCTACATTCTACGTCTACCCACTAGTGGTATGTGCACAGTAACCCATTAAAAAGGTTTTCCTGTAAACATAAAACACGGGATAAAGCCCATCAAGGCCATTTTCCCCTTCCCTCTGCCTTCAAACTTCTCTATGAAGTTTGTAAACTGGTCTGAAGACAAAGGGGAGGAGGAAGAAAAAGCAAATAAAAACCCCTTACCCAATGGAAAAAAATAAGGGTTTTTTGTTCACTTAAATAAGGACAAAACCCCCAAATAACAAGGTACCAAAGTAACACACATAATTTCATAACCTACCAAGTGGTCACCTGGTATTGGAGGACCTTTAAGGCTGAAGGAAAAAAATGGATGAATAACCCAAACATTTCCTTGTTCTTTTCTTTAATTTTTCAATTTTAAATTCCCTAACCCCACGAAACAAACTTTTGAAAATACAGTAATCAGGATATGCTTTTACTTAACCCTAAAAGGCATTAATTCGGGCCCTTTGAACACATACAGGGTTTCCTCCCCCCGTGGGGGTAAATGGGAAATTGAAACCGGGAACCGGTAAGGCTGTAGGTGCTGAACCCGAGTGGTCTTTTAAGTGAATTTTCCCTTCCTGATTATTTCCAACCCCAACCCTTGAATAAACCCCCCCCTTTTTCCCATTAATTTGGAACCAAATAGGAATAGTGACTCAAGGGGGATGTTAGGGAAAAAAATTAAAAATACTTTTAAAGGGTTGTTTTTGTTTAAATCGCCCTTCATCTTATCTTTTTTTTTAAAAACCCATTTTTACGTGGTCAAAAAACCCCTAAAAAACAACTGAAGTGGTAATTTAAAACCGGTACCACATATTAAGGTTCCCACATTTTGTGAACGGGGTAGAAGGCCTTAAAACTGCGGGTCCAAGGCTAAAAAGGGGTTTCAAAAACCTGGTGGACCTACCTGGCTTTGGGGGTGAGTATTAAAACCTGATTTAATTTTAATTCCCCCAAAAAATAAAGGATTTAAAAAATAACCCAAATCAAGGCAATGTCCGGAAAACGGGGTTGACAATCAAAACCCCCGTTGAAATGGATAAACCAGGGAAATAGGGAAACGGCCCCCAAAAGGAGGTTCAGGGGCCAAACTTTGTTTTGCCCTTGATGTTTTGGGTTAGGTGGGGTTTTCACCTTTGGGTTTAGACACCTCAACCACAAGGGGCCCATTACCAAGAACTAAACCCGGTTGCAGAAATGTTTCCCTGCCCCTATGCCAAACCATGACCCGGGACACCAATGGGAACGGGGATTGAGGGAAAACCCCCAAGGGAAACGTTACCCCGAACATTATGAGCACAGTGTGGTCAATACTTGTGCTAGAATCCGTGCACTGTTGTAGAATATGTAAGTTTTTTTCTGTCAAGTTCACCTCCTTTGGCCGTCGAACATGGCTGTGAGAGGGAAGCCAATAGAGGAGACATGAGTGAGCTCAAGTGGGGTCTGTTCAGTACGGTGCAACGTTATAAAATAACATTGATAGAAATGCACTTTGTAGAATAGGTATGTTTTTTCTGTCTTATAGAATCGGGCACCATGTCATCTTTATTCATTACATTTTTATCTGAAACGTCCTGAATTATTTTAACTGAATAGGTCTAGACCCCTGAGAACTACAACTAAGAAGAAAGGGCAGCTGGGAAGTGTAGTTTAATGCTGTAACACTAACACAATGAATTAAGGTCTCGCACGATGTGTTGTGACACAGAGTTAAAGAAGTCTTGCCTGTTTGAACTCTCCCTTGCGGTTTAATCCAATGATGTCCTAACAAAGGGCTTCATCACATGGAAGGTCTGGGTGGACACTACACTGCATGCTTCTGGACAGTCAGAGTGAGCTTATATAAAACTAGTTGTATTTTCTTAGTATATACACTGCTCAAAAAAATAAAGGGAACACTTAAACAACACAATGTAACTCCAAGTCAATCACACTTCTGTGAAATCAAACTGTCCACTTAGGAAGCAACACTGATTGACAATACATTTCACACGCTGTTGTGCAAATGGAATAGACAACAGGTGGAAATTATAGGCAATTAGCAAGACACCCCCCAATAAAGGACTGGTTTTGCAGGTGGTGACCACAGACCACTTCTCAGTTCCTATGCTTCCTGGCTGATGTTTTGGTCACTTTTGAATGCTTGCGGTGCTTTCACTCTAGTGGTAGCATGAGACGGAGTCTACAACCCACACAAGTGGCTCAGGTAGTGCAGCTCATCCAGGATGGCACATCAATGCGAGCTGTGGCAAGAAGGTTTGCTGTGTCTGTCAGCGTAGTGTCCAGAGCATGGAGGCGCTACCAGGAGACAGGCCAGTACATCAGGAGACGTGGAGGAGGCCGTAGGAGGGAAACAACCCAGCAGCAGGACTGCTACCTCCGCCTTTGTGCAAGGAGGAGCAGGAGGAGCACTGCCAGAGCCCTGCAAAATGACCTCCAGCAGGCCACAAATGTGCATGTGTCTGCTCAAACGGTCAGAAACAGACTCCATGAGGGTGGTATGAGGGCCCGACGTCCACAGGTGGGGGTTGTGCTTACAGCCCAACACCGTGCAGGATGTTTGGCATTTGCCAGAGAACACCAAGATTGGCAAATTCGCCACTGGCGCCCTGTGCTCTTCACAGATGAAAGCAGGTTCACACTGAGCACGTGACAGACGTGACAGAGTCTGGAGACGCCGTGGAGAACGTTCTGCTGCCTGCAACATCCTCCAGCATGACCGGTTTGGCGGTGGGTCAGTCATGGTGTGGGGTGGCATTTCTTTGGGGGGCAGCACAGCCCTCCATGTGCTCGCCAGAGGTAGTCTGACTGCCATTAGGTACCGAGATGAGATCCTCAGACCCCTTGTGAGACCATATGCTGGTGCGGTTGGCCCTGGGTTCCTCCTAATGCAAGACAATGTTAGACCTCATGTGGCTGGAGTGTGTCAGCAGTTCTTGCAAGAGGAAGGCATTGATGCTATGGACTGGCCCGCCCGTTCCCCAGACCTGAATCCAATTGAGCACATCTGGGACATCATGTCTCGCTCCATCCACCAACGCCACGTTGCACCACAGACTGTCCAGGAGTTGGCGGATGCTTTAGTCCAGGTCTGGGAGGAGATCCCTCAGGAGACCATCCGCCACCTCATCAGGAGCATGCCCAGGCGTTGTAGGGAGGCCATACAGGCACGTGGAGGCCACACACACTACTGAGCCTCATTTTGACTTGTTTTAAGGACATTACATCAAAGTTGGATCAGCCTGTAGTGTGATTTTCCACTTTAATTTTGAGGGTTACTCCAAATCCAGACCTCCATGGGTTGATACATTTGATTTCCATTGATAATTTGTGTGTGATTTTGTTGTCAGCACATTCAACTATGTAAAGAAAAAAGTATTTAATAAGATTATTTCATTCATTCAGATCTAGGATGTGTTATTTTAGTGTTCCCTTTATTTTTTTGAGCAGTGTATTTTCCATTCACATTCCGCTACACTTCTCAGACTCCAGAATGATCCAGTTGGTGAAGGTGTAATAAAGTGTGTTAATTTATCAACAGGGTGATTCTAGATGGATATGCCTTTTGAGACAAACAAACATCCTCCGGTTTGTGGGAAATAAATACTCCTTTTGCTGATAGCTGCATGCACAGGAGGTTGGTGACGCCTTAATTGGGGAGGACGGGCTCGTGGTAATGGCTGGAGCGGAAAGGTATCAAATACAATCAAACATATGGTTTCCATGTGTTTGATGCCAATCCATTCGTTCCGTTCCAGCCATTATTATGGGCCGTCGTTGTGCAAGGTTTTTTTTGTGTGTCAAGGGTCAATGAGAGACAACTACTCACATATGATTGATCGGACCGTCACTGGGTTGAATGGGGTCCATGTACCTATAGAGAGAAGATAAGATGGGTGAAACAAATGAGGACTTTCAGCCGCTAAGAGTTCAATCGTACTGGATGACTGCCAAGTTAATACCTTTGGACTTCAAATGAACCAGGCCATTCATAACAGCACAAGAAGAAGAGGGAATTAGGCCAGGAGTTAGTAGTGGAGAACTCTGGTGACTTAAGCAACCGTTATGTTCTTATCTTGGGTATGCTTAGTACCAAGCCAGTATTTTGGGTAACAGCTACCCCGGAGAAAGAGCTGGAGATTTATCAGGGTTCCCTAAAGCTTGCTGACTCACCATCTCACCCTCTCTTGAGAGAGAGGAGAGAGAGAGAGAAGAAGAGAGAGAGAGAGGAGAGAGAGAGGAGGAGGGAGGCCCTCACGAGGAGAGAGATCAGAGACAGAGACAGAGACAGACGACGAGACAGAGACATAGGAGAGAGACAGAGACAGAGACAGAGAGAGAGAGAGAGATTTGCAGTGCAGTAAAGTGAACCACTTGTCATTAAGCCTTTACTCTGCAACGGCAATAAGCCAAGAGACAGGGAGATGTCTCCCACTGGACTGGACTAGGTCAAGGACCACTCTGCTAATACAGCTGAACTGGGTCTGGGCTGGGACCACTCTGGTAATACAGCTGGGTGGGACTAGATCTGGACTGGTTTTATAGCTGGGTGGGACCGGAACTGGGTCTGGTTTTACAGCTGGGTGGGACTGGCTGTGAAAGGGACTGGGTCTGTACTGCTTTTACAGCCTGTGAGACAAAGCTTCCTATGTGCAACACACTGGGCCTTCTCACTGTGCTGCCCGGTGCCCACTCATGAAGAGGGAGCAGGGAGGGGGGGACATGGAAGAAAAAGAACAGGGTGACCGACAGGAGAGGCTCAGTGAGAAAACAGCTCTATAATAACACGCACACACATCGAAAGGCCCTCACACAGGTTTGAATTTAAACATAGTAACACTCACTTACATCTAACTGCTCTAGGCAGACTAAAACAGCATGTGCAAGGTTGAGCTCGACCTTGAGACAGAAAATCACCCCTCTCGCCCCCTTTCCTCTCCGACACCAAGTGCAGGCAGAGGGCTGAGCCACTTCGCCACAGAAACCAGACAATCTGCCCCTAGCCAAACATGACATTTTAGTCATTTAGCAGAGTGACTTACAGTAGTGAGTGCATACATTTATCATACTATTTCGTACTGGTCCCCCGTGGGAATCGAACCCACAACCCTGGCATTGCGAGCGCCATGCTCTACAAACTGAGCCACATGGGACCTAGCCTAATTGTGCATGTTCCCTGTCAAAGCCAGACATGATTGTTCTGTGTTATTATTAGTCTGTGTGTTCATGAGGCGATTCAGGAGGAGTCAATGCAGGAGTTAATCATTAGTAGATGGGCCTAGATTCCCTTGGCACGTAGGTAGACCTGCCATTCAAACTACTCAGCACAGTGAATGCAATGCTGCCAATTTCAGCAACTACTAGGTTGGTGGCTCCGAAACCAAAAAAATTAATCAAAGCACATAAATATCAGTCTGGACACATTTTGGCAGGTGCTTGGTGCAGACAGAGCAGGTGCTAGGAGGACAGTTCAATATGAAGAGCTAGCAAAAAGGTCCCGGCACCTATAAAATATTCCCTTTAATGAAAGACTGGTGATGTATGTCAGGGAGCGGCACTGCCACAGGGTCTGATGGAGAGAGACGGCATGTCAGCTCTGAGCAGAGGATGAGAGGAAACCAGGGAAGACGAGAAGTGGGGAGAGGAGAGGAGCGAAGGATCGATAAGAGAAGAAGAAAAACAGGAAAGAGGAAAGGAACAGTGAGTGATAGAGTGAGTGACAACACCATGGGCATGGTCAGCGAAGCGCACGGCCGAGGATGGGGCACAGCTTGCATTCAGTCAGCAGCTTGGTCACAGTCACATCCTCATCATGACACAGCCCTACTAATGAACTGGACTGACTGTGTGAACACGGCTGCTGCCTGCCTGCCTTCCTTCCACACAGCCTGGTCATCAGTATTCTGAACCAGGGCTACGGCCAGATAACAGCTCCTTTCACCGCTCCTGAGCATCTTTAGTGTCCAAAAACAGTCGGAGAGAAGAATATCCATTCAATCCATTTCAAAAACTGCAGAGTCCTCGATCGATTCAAAATGTTGAGGTTCAGAATAAATTGTTATTATCAACATGGTCTCAATGTTTGCTTTGCTGGAACAAGTGCCCAAAGGTAAACACGATGTTCAGTCATGGCAATGACTCAATCATGAGCATATCTCGCCATCCAGCCTGGTGGAAAGATGAATGTCATGCTGTGCTCATGGCGTTGGTTAAGCCACTCCTCTCTGTCATATCTCAACAACCAGAGGGTTTTGAGTTGATAATCAGGTGGTAGCTGTTGTCAGACACTTCCTGCCTCATACAGGAAGTACTCTCCCTGTGTCACCAGACAACCTTTTCACCTGATGGTCGGACATTTTGAGGTAAAAACAAAACGTGTCCATTTCAAGTTCAGACCACCAACTTTCCACACCAAGCTTCTCTCATCTCTGTCCTTAACCAGGTGTTGAAATGAGAGGAGGAAGTGTTGAGTTCTAGAGGAGGAGGAACGTACCGTTCGATAAGGCCTGCTGCAGCTCTGTGTCTGATATCACGGCGCTCCTGTCCTTGTCCACTCTGGGAGGAAACAAGACAGACAGACGGTATTAACACACAATACAGCCCTGTTGAAACCCTATAGTCATGCTACGCTGTAAGCCCCTTGTCAAGATCTCAACACTCCATTCAATGGGAGTGTGTGGGCTGGTCTAGGGACGGGAGGGACAACGGCTTGTGGGGATGGTGGCGAGTGTCGTTTTACAGGGACGCCCCGTGCCACCATCACAGATCAGTGAAAGGTGAAACCAAAACGAACCAACTGCATTCAAACAGGCTGATGACACGGGTTACTAGTGCTACACTCGTGTGTGATGTAATAGCCTGATTGTTGGCAAGAGGGCTATTATGGTCTGTTTGTGCAGTCTTGCCAACGATGTTTGGCATGACAACAAGCATAGGAGTTGGTTACGGTACAGCATAAACAGATCTGGAATCAGCCTAGCTATTATATTTTGAATGCAATGCCAAAGAAAGGAGGCTTTTCCATCAAGGGAAAATAGATTAAAGATGCACTGAACGTTTTCGCATTGAATTTACAATAGACACAAATATCGTATAGCATTCTATTGTAGAATCTCAGAACCCAGCGCCTTTCAGCACAATACCCATGCGCTGTCTGTCGCAGAAGTGTTGTATCACAAACTAATTAGCCTAATTTTTTTTAATCGTGTTCCAATTGAACAGTATAAGAATGGTACAAGCTTTCTATTTAGACGTGGGAGACGTTTTGTGGGTTGAACATGAACAGAAATAAGAGGCCTTGCCTTCCAGTTCTGGAATAACCTTCTTCTCTGTGAAATGAAGCGCAATCCTCCCACCCTGAATGACTCACATAGCAACCCCTCCAACCCAACAACACACCAACTAAACCGCAGTCTTTGCATAGCAAGACGGGACAAATCCTGACCTTTCCATGAAGGCACGCTTTGTGACTTCCTACAGACTTTAAAAAGGGAAAGGTTGGTCAGAGGGGGTACCTAACATTAACCAAACACTTTTAGAGTAGGGTCTGTGCTGTGTCCAACTACACACTCCATTTCTTCTTTTTTTTTTCTCTCTCTACCTCAGGTTAACTTACCTCACTGGGTTTTACACAAAATGAGGTGAAGTGGGAGAGCATCATTAACATTCCTTTCCCTGGCCTGAAGCAGAAGTTGGAACCATCTGCCCATTTGCTGATTGGTGTTCAGAACAGATCCAAAAAATTATATACACAGCACAGCACAGCAGCCATTGGAATCCTAACATTTCCCCAATCTGTCTCAGTTTTTCCTGCGGAGCGATTCAAGTTATGACATGCCTGGCAGAACATAGTCTCCCATTCAAATGGTTTAGCAGCTTATGTCATGCTGGTTCTCATGGTAGGGGGAAGAGGAGTAGCCCTTCTGAACAGGAGACCGGTTTTCAGCCAACATGACCCTAAACCAGACAGTGAAAGCAATTATTTGTATTGCCACATCAGAGATGTTGACCTAGGCCTAGATCCTTTGCTGTTCTATTTTAGGCTGTCTTTGTGGCCCACATTTTTCACAAGCCAGTGTAATGGAAACTGATGATCCTATAGGTGGAGAGTGGAAAAGGAACATTCTATGACTCAAGCCAAACAAAATGCTAAGAAAGGCACCAAGTTGCTAGTGACTCATGGATTTTCACTTTGACCACTCCAGTCATATGACCCAGGGAGGGAGTGCCAGCCCCAGTGAGTTGCTTGGTTGTGGAGTGTGTGGTGGAATACAGATTGCCAGATAAGACCTAGATCTCTTTCTTATAAATTATTCAAAAAAGGTGTTTCGGGTCTTTCTTGCGTGCCTCCAGCATTTTAATGTTGTGAGAAAGCAAAGCACCATGGGTCCTCTGCAGTATTACATAACTCAATACTACCACCAGGGGCAAGAGCAACTTCCTATTTTTCTACTACAACCTTATGCCAGCTCGTCAGTTATTACTGTATGTGAATTGTCATGCCTGCTCTCGTCAGTTCTTGTAAAATAAAGTTTATTCAAAGCCATTCTCATAAGATAACCGCCCGACAAAATAGAAACCGATAGTAAATAAGATTATTTTCATTAGATGCCATTGACTAAATCAACTCCAAGAAGTCCTTTGAACAACAATAAGGCCTTGTATGTGTGGTAGAAAAATGTCAAAATGCAAGAGAGTAAAATAGGAAGAGAGAAAAAACGTGCTTACTAGAACCAAATGACTGGCAAAATACATCCCAATAATAATAATACAAAATCCTACATTTTTCTTTAAGAAATTAAAACCAGTCTGTCAAATAAATGTCCTCATCGAACCATGGTTATAATATGAAAACAATAACTTTGTATGCGTACCGAAGCGAACATATAAAGTGTGCTATTACTATCTCTGCCAATTATGCGCTGTGGCAGCAGTTTTCAAAATGAAGCTCAAACCAAAGCGGAGTATTTCGATCGCCACGAAAGACGTATTTTACCTCACCTCTGAAATATATTCCAAAGAAAACCTTGATCCGGCGCCGGGGCCGGCGCTGCGTTGTTGTATTGTTGTTGTGGAGCTCCTCTATACGGACTACCGGAATGATATGCCATTTTAAAACCTTTATAATTTGTGCTACACAACCCTGTACTCGTTTTCATCTGTGACACTGACGTTCGGTCGTCACAAGTTACCACAGCCACAAAGTCATAACTATGACACAACCCCGCCCAATTATACAATTTATCTTCTTAAAATCGGATTTTAAATCTAACCTTGACCTCAACCTTAAACACACTGCTAACCTTATACCTAAGCATAAATGAAGACCAAAAAGCACATTTTTGTTTTCATGACATTTTACAATAGAGCCAATTTCGACTTTGTGGCTGTGGTAACTAGTGACAACCTGACATTCCTCGCGCAGAGGCGTGGCATGTAACCACTTCCCATAAGAAATGTGGAAACACCATAGAGCTACATCCTGAGTCCGTTAGTGTCAATTACTCTACTTTCACACGTTTTGATTGGTCTTCTGCCCGGCCCAGTGATTTACCAATGAGGGAGTTCAATTAAGCTCAACCGCGGTGGGTAAACCGGTCCCGTGACGTGAACGGGTAAAAGCGGTGAGGGAGGAGTTTTCATTGGGAAGGCAGATAAAGCGTTTTTATCAAAATAAATCACTTTTGCAAGTGAAAACACAAAATCCTTCTCATTAATCCACGTGTAACCTACGTCACTTTTGTTTTGAGCCAATTTAGCCGGGGCACCTGGCTCACGCCCCGAAGGCAGCCCAGTTCCAAACAAATGCAAACACTTTTCACCCACTACAAAATCCTCCCACCTGGGCAATTCGTGCCAAATAAATCGAATCCCTTCAATGCATTCTTGTGTGAATTTCAAAATCACTTTTTGCTGGAGAACCACAAAAAGTAAAACACCATGCTATTTTAAACTTTGACTAATCTTGTTAACACCAAAAACAAAAGTAAAGTAATCTAAAATGTAGCAACATAATTAAACGTTAAAGATTTAAATGATTTCCAATATGATAAATATGATTTTCACTTCTAAGAACTAAAACAGCTGTTTACCTCAGAAATGCTGTTTGCCTGTATTTGCTTTTATCTTGGACTAGTACACTCTCCGTGATTGGTCAAAAGCCTAAACGTCGTCAATTCTAAGTTTGGTCGCGAATTTCGATCATGCTCAATGCTGCTCTCTGTGGAGAATCTGAAGCTAGCAGCTGACCATGACCCTTTTCTTGATCTAGCTAGCTAATCAAGATCTGTTTATGTTCTATAAGCAAGTTCTAGACACCAAATTAAGACAAAAATAATTCTGCAAGAATTGAGGAAAGATGTTTTACTATCCAAACATTCTTCAGAGGCACACCGGCTGCTTTTCCACTTGTGGCTAGCTCACCTAGGCTAACATACTCTTTGGCTGAGTTTAATATTTTGTAGCTTGTCAATCTTAGTCAATGTAATGTGTGTATGGGTCATCGTCATCAGAGGCCTTCAATTTAGACAAATTCTGGTATTTATTATCATGCTGTTTGACTCTGTGTTGTAGGTTGGCAGCCACCGAAGGGATCAGGATAACGCGCAGAGAGCTTCTGAGGGTCAAGGTTGGGCGGACATGGTGACAACAACCCTTCCTCTCTCCTTTCTATGTCTGAGAGACTGAGGGGAATATGTTATGCTAACCAACCTTTATGGTCCCTAAACTTCGAGACAAAACATGTATAGCTAGCAAAGTTAGATGTATTGTGTCATGGCTCTGATCATAGCTAGTTGCAGTGGGGGCTGAGCCCCACCTGTTTTGAGCCCCACAATTTTAGCAACAAAAAAAAAAGATATATATACAGTTTAGTCAGCCACCAATTGTGCAAGTTCTCCCACTTAAAAAGATGAGAGAGGCCTGTAATTTTCATCATAGGTACACGTCAACTATGACAGACAAAATGAGATTTTTTTTCTCCAGAAAATCACATTGTAGGATTTTTAATGAATTTATTTGCAAATTATGTTGGAAAATAAGTATTTGGTCAATAACAAAAGTTTCTCAATACTTTGTTATATACCCTTTGTTGGCAATGACACAGGTCAAACGTTTTCTGTAAGTCTTCACAAGGTTTTCACACACTGTTGCTGGTATTTTGGCCCATTCCTACATGCAGATCTCCTCTAGAGCAGTGATGTTTTGGGGCTGTCGCTGGGCAACACTGACTTTCAACTCCCTCCAAAGATTTTCTATGTGGTTGAGATCTGGAGACTGGCTAGGCCACTCCAGGACCTTGAAATGCTTCTTACGAAGCCACTCCTTCGTTGCCCGGGCGGTGTGTTTGGGATCATTGTCATGCTGAAAGACCCAGCCACGTTTCATCTTCAATGCCCTTGCTGATGGAAGGAGGTTTTCACTCAAAATCTCACGATACATGGCCCCATTCATTCTTTCCTTTACACGGATCAGTCGTCCTGGTCCCTTTGCAGAAAAACAGCCCCAAAGCATGATGTTTCCACCCCCATGCTTCACAGTAGGTATGGTGTTCTTTGGATGCAACTCAGCATTCTTTGTCCTCCAAACACGACGAGTTGAGTTTTTACCAAAAAAGTTCTATTTTGGTTTCATCTGACCATATGACATTCTCCCAATCCTCTTCTGGATCATCCAAATGCACTCTAGCAAACTTCAGACGGGCCTGGACATGTACTGGCTTAAGCAGGGGGACACGTCTGGCACTGCAGGATTTGAGTCCCTGGCGGCGTAGTGTGTTACTGATGGTAGGCTTTGTTACTTTGGTCCCAGCTCTCTGCAGGTCATTCATTAGGTCCCCCCGTGTGGTTCTGGGATTTTTGCTCACCGTTCTTGTGATCATTTTGACCCCACGGGGTGAGATCTTGCGTGGAGCCCCAGATCGAGGGAGATTATCAGTGGTCTTGTATGTCTTCCATTTCCTAATAATTGCTCCCACAGTTGATTTCTTCAAACCAAGCTGCTTACCTATTGCAGATTCAGTCTTCCCAGCCTGGTGCAGGTCTACAATTTTGTTTCTGGTGTCCTTTGACAGCTATTTGGTGTTGGCCATAGTGGAGTTTGGAGTGTGACTGTTTGAGGTTGTGGACAGGTGTCTTTTATACTGATAACAAGTTCAAACTGGTGCCATTACTACAGGTAACGAGTGGAGGACAGAGGAGCCTCTTATAGAAGAAGTTACAGGTCTGTGAGAGCCAGAAATCTTGCTTGTTTGTAGGTGACCAAATACTTATTTTCCACCATAATTTGCAAATAAATTCATTAAAAATCCTACAATGTGATTTTCTGGAAAAAAAAATCTCAATTTGTCTGTCATAGTTGACGTGGACCTATGATGAAAATTACAGGCCTCTCTCATCTTTTTAAGTGGGAGAACTTGCACAATTGGTGGCTGACTAAATACTTTTTTGTATTTAGTCAGTATTTGATCCCCTGCTGATTTTGTACGTTTGCCCACTGACAAAGAAATGATCAGTCTATAATTTTAATAGTAGGTTTATTTGAACAGTGAGAGACAGAATAACAACAAAAAGATCCAGAAAAACGCATGTCAAACATTTTAGAAATTGATTTGCATTTTAATGAGGGAAATAAGTATTTGACCCCTTCTCAATCAGAAAGATTTCTGGCTCCCAGGTGTCTTTTATACAGGTAACGAGCTGAGATTAGGAGCACACTCTTAAAGGGAGTGCTCCTAATCTCAGTTTGTTACCTGTATAAAAGACACCTGTCCACAGAAGCAATCAATCAACCAGATTCCAAACTCTCCACCATGGCCAAGACCAAAGAGCTCTCTAAGGATGTCAGGGACAAGAATGTAGACCTACACAAGGCTGGAATGGGCTACAAGACCATGGCCAAGCAGCTTGGTGAGAAGGTGACAACAGTTGGTGCGATTATTCGCAAATGGAAGAAACACAAAATAACTGTCAATCTCCCTCGGCCTGGGGCTCCATGCAAGATCTCACCTCGTGGAGTTGCAATGATCATGAGAACGGTGAGGAATCAGTCCAGAACTACACGGGAGGATCTTGTCAATGATCTCAAGGCAGCTGGGACCATAGTCACCAAGAAAACAATTGGTAACACACTACGCCGTGAAGGACTGAAATCCTGCAGCGCCTGCAAGGTCCCCTTGCTCAAGAAAGCACATATACAGGCCCGTCTGAAGTTTGCCAATGAACATCTGAATGATTCAGAGGAGAACTGGGTGAAAGGGTTGTGGTCAGATGAGACCAAAATCGAGCGCTTTGGCATCAACTCAACTCGCCGTGTTTGGAGGAGGAGGAATGCTGCCTATGACCCCAAGAACACCATCCCCACCGTCAAACATGGAGGTGGAAACATTATGCTTTGGGGGTGTTTTTCTGCTAAGGGGACAGGACAACTTCACCGCATCAAAGGGACGATGGACGGGGCTATGTACCGTCAAATCTTGGGTGAGAACCTCCTTCCCTCAGCCAGGGCATTGAAAATGGGTCGTGGATGGGTATTCCAGCATGACAATGACCCAAAACACACGGCCAAGACAACAAAGGAGTGGCTCAAGAAGAAGCACATTAAGGTCAGTCAGTCTCCAGACCTTAATCCCATAGAAAATCTGTGGAGGGAGCTGAAGGTTCGAGTTGCCAAACGTCAGCCTCAAAACCTTAATGACTTGGAGAAGATCTGCAAAGAGGAGTGGGACAAAATCCCTCCTGAGATGTGTGCAAACCTGGTGGCCAACTACAAGAAACGTCTGACCTCTGTGATTGCCAACAAGGGTTTTGCCACAAAGTACTAAGTCATGTTTTGCAGAGGGGTCAAATACTTATTTACCTCATTAAAATGCAAATCAATTTATAACATTTTTGACATGCGTTTTTCTGGATTATTTGTTGTTATTCTGTCTCTCACTGTTCAAATAAACCTACCATTAAAATTATAGACTGATCATGTCTTTGTCAGTGGGCAAACATATAAAATCAGCAGGGGATCAAATACTTTTTCCCCTAACTGTATATATATATACTACCGGTCAAAAGTTTTAGAACACCTACTCGTTCAAGGGTTTTTCTTTATTTTTACTATTTTCTACATTGTAGAATAATAGTGAAGACATCAAAACTATGAAATAACACATATGGAATCATGTACTAA